CCTAGCAGACTACAGCCTTAAATATTAATTATATCTCAACATCAAGAAAACAAATTTCCTGATCCTCAGATCAGTAGGCAACATCATGATAAATGGAGAAAAGATTAAAGTTGTCAACTATTTCATTTTACTTTGATCCACAATCAACATCCTTGGTATCGGCAGTTAAGAGATCAAAAGATTTGTTTCATTGTGAAAATCTGCTGTCAATGAACTTTCCAAAGTGCTAAAAAGCAAGCATATCAGTTTAAAGACTAAGATGGATCTAATTCCAGCCATGGTATTTTCAACTGCTTCCTATGCATGCCAAAGTTGGACAATAAAATAAAAGCTAGACATAAAAAGATTTGATGTTTTTTAATTATATTGGTGAACAGTATTGAATATCCCATGGACTGCCAAGAGAATAAATAAATCCATCTGGAAAGAAGCACAACCAGAATACCCCTTAAAAGGAAAGATGATGAAACTTCTTTCACATACTTTGGGCTTTGTTTTTTTTCAGCAGCAAACAGTTTTTGGAGAAAGACATCACACTGAGAAAGGCAGAAGGTTAGCCAAAAAGAAGAAAACCCTCAACAAGATGGACTGACATGGGGATCAGGGTGATTACCACCATAGGCTTGAATCTGACAGAGGTTGTAGGGATGGTACAGGATAGATCAAGATCTGTTGTTCATATGGAGGTAGTCGACTTGATAGCACCCAACAAAAACCAACAACAGGCACCTCCAGCTGCACTTTTTAACAACCTTTAACTCAGCTAAGAACTTTCAGGTACCATAAAAGTGACTGCAATATGTCCTTCTAGAGAGCAGTCATCTTGGCAGGACATGTTTTGGTATTCTGAGAGGGCCAAGCACCTCACTTGGAAATGACCATCTTTAAAGCCTTACACATTTGTTTCTGAAATTTGCTGAGTCATGAATGCCCTTGATTGTCTAACCTGTGCACGCTCCTCATGATATCTAGAAAGTCCTTCCAGTGGCAGCTGTAATGAATAGTTATTTTAATCCTTGTCATGTGGGCCAATCCCAGATGATCTTTCCCTTATTAATAAGGTTGATCTTTTCCTTTTCATAGATTTTGTTGTTGCTGTTGTTAAGTGTTGTCAAGTCATTAACAACTCGTAGTGACCCTATGAACAAAAAACCTGAACATTTTATATAACTTTCATCATTTCTCCAAGTTCATAGGGTTTCCAGAAGCAAGCTATTATGGAAGTGGATGCCATTCCTGCTTCCAAGCTTGTTTTAATCAGTGAGCTCCACCAAACACTGCCCACCATGGATAACCATTATCACACTGGACACATCGGTGTCACAGTGTTCAGGATCACAGCAACCACAAGTTACCTCTGTACAGCAAATGGACAGACCAGTTCTATACCACTAAGAAGAATTGTTGTTGTTGTTATTGTTGTTGTTATGTGCCATCGAGTTGTTTGCGACTCATAGCGACCCTATGTACAACAGCCCTAAACCCTGCTCTATCCTGTGCCAATCTCATTGCCTCTGACACACCATCCTGATTACCCCAGTCACTGAATCAATCCACCTCATAGAGGGTCTTCCCCTCATGCGCTGTCCCTCCACTCTGCTCAGCATGATGTCCCTCTCCAAAGCTTACAACATGTCCAAATTATGTCAGGCAAAGCCCCAGAATCCTTGCCTCCAAGGAGCAGCCTGGTTTAACCCTCTCTAGGATGAATCTATTTGTTTTCTTGGCAGTCCATGGTACATTCAGTACTCTTCTCCAGCACCACAGCTCAAAGGCGTCAATTCTTATTCTATCCTCTCTAGTTATTGTCAAACTCTCTGATGCATAACAAGTGATTGCAAAAACCATGGCCTGTATCAGACGCACCTTAGTCTCCAGAGAGACACCGTCGCTCTTGAGTACTTTAGAGAGGTCCCTAACCACAGACTTTCCCATCGCAGTACGTTTTTTCATTTCCTGGCTACTGGTGCCAAGAGTGTTGACCGTGGAGCCGAGCAAACTGAAGCTGTGAACAATCTCAATCTCTTCACCATCCATCCTGATGCTGCCAATTGGTCCAGTGGTGAGAATCTTTGTCTTCTTGACATTGACCCTCAGTCCATACTGAAGGCTGCAGTCCTTGACCCTTTGCAGTAAGTGCATGAGGTCCTCCTCAGTTTCAGCGAGCAGGGTTGTGTCATCTGCATAACACAGATTGTTGATAGATCGTCCACCAATCCTAACGCTACGCTTCTCCTCATAGAGCCCAGCCTCTCGGATAATCTGCTCTGCATACAGGTTGAAAATGTATGGAGACAGGACACATCCCTGGCATACACCCTTCCCAATTTTGAACCATGCAGTGTTGCCCTGCTCTGTTCTGACTACTGCCTCTTGGTCCAAGTATAGGTTTCGCATTAGCACGATTAAATGTTCTGGGATTCCCATTCTTCTCAGAAGAATATTTGACCAAAAACAATTAAAACCAGGCCTGAGGGCCGCAGATCAAAATCACCCACCTTTGGCTTGGTAGCATAACTTTCTATCCACCAGGTCAATATAGCTCTCTCGTTGTTGTTGTTGTTTTTATTGTTGTTAAGTGTCATCAAGACATTGGTGACTCATAGCAACCCTATGAAGCTTTTTAATAAACCCCTATGCTCTCCATAAACAAACATGATATCCTTTCTCTGCCTCCAAAATCTTTTTAAAAGAATCACTTTCATTTTGTTTCATAAGTTCTGTGCTAATATTGCCTTTCCCTTCCATGTCTCCATTGGAAAGTATTTTTCCTAATAAATCTCTTTGTTTGCTTGTATAGAAAAGTCTGGACTCCTATTTTGCTATTCTTAACAGGAATAAGAATTCAATTTTAGGAATACACTGGAGACATTTTCTTGGCAATCACATCTAGGATGTAGTATGACTACAGCATTACTATTTCTCTCATTTTGAGAAAAAGTAAAAATATCTTTGTTAATATCTCCCCAGATGATTCTAAGACGCAGTCAGTATCTCCAAATAGTGGGTTTTGCCTTTCCTCTAATTCTGTAGATCCTATCAATGTACTTGGACCTCACTGATGGGACGTGTGAAACTTTAGGTCTTGTGCATTCACTCATAGATGCTGTAATTATGGCAGTGATCAGAGGAGGCTAGTCTGTAAATTCATTGTGATCCACCACTGAATTTTGTATATATATAGAAGACATTCAAAGGTCCACTCACCTGGTATGATGACCAACTCCAGGTCTACTTTTTTATCATTAAACAGGCCTGGGAATTCAACCCGGCAGCAGTAAGTCCCACTGTCTGCTGAAGTCACCTTTTCGATGGTCAGGGACACATCTCCTTTCTGTATTGATCCCTTTAGCTTGTATCTGCTGGATACTCGTTGGTTCACGTGACTTCCATCAGTGGTGAGCACTGTTTCGTGACAGTGTGATACTGGACAGAAACTGTGGCCCCAGCACACAGGCACATTTTTCACTGAGGAGGTCGGAGAGTAGTGGCAGGGCAAAATAGCATCCTGACCCACCTCGACAGTGTACACCTCTTCCAAGGATTCTGGGTAAACAGAAAAGAAAGCAAGACCCAGGCAATGAGTGAGGTGGGATCCATTTCAGTAAACCTGAAAGCAATGCTTCTATGACAAAGAAGAAACCATACTGTTAGCCGGCTTGTAGTGCAATGCCCTCAGGCAGTGAGTCTCAGACTAAGCAGGCATGACAATTACCTGGAATCCCCATTAAAATGTGGATGTTGATTATACTTGGGGAGGGTGCGGGGGGTGGGGGGGGTGTGTACCAATGAAGGAGTTTTTCTTTTGCTTTTCAAGGAGAGGAGCGAAGGGGAGGCGGGGAGAAAAGTGCAACAATGAATGAATGGAATTCCAAAATCTCTCTAGCTATTCATTGAAATTTTAAAAAAAAGAAAAATAAAAAAATTTAAAAAAAAATGTGGATGTTGGACTCCTCCCTTGCAGTTCCTGATATAGCTCTGGGATGGGGCCTGAGAATTTCCATTCCCCACAAGCTCCCTGCTTTTGCTGCTGGTCCCTGTAGAACCAGACAGAGAGCTGTGGACCCATCTTGTGAACACCAGAGGGAAAGGCTGACAGAAGCAGAGAATCCGGAAATGGGTCATTGTTAGCCAAGAAAAGGTTAGCCGACTCATCTTGACGAACTTGTCTGTTCATCAGAGAAGGGCAGGTGTCACCTCATCACTTCTCAGCCCCAGCCACATAGTGAATAAAGATGTTGGGCTGAAGAAAAACCACTCAGAAGCACTTTTGAGGTTTACCAGAACCTTTTTTTTCTTCTTCTGTAATATATGTACACAGTAAGATGTCCACAAAGTACAAAAGGTGAGTCATAAAAAAAAAAGACTCCCTACACTGACTCTCTCATTTCTGACTGCTTTTCTGATATCCATATGTGAGCAGTTGCTTTTAAGTTCAATCTGGCACATGGTAACCCTCTGCGTATAAGCCTGGAATAATTCTTCGTAAGGTTGTCTTCATAAGGTTCACAAGTAGCTCACTGACTTCAGAGGCAATTCTGGGTGGAGTTGAACCTCTAACCTTTCCATAGGGTCACTCTATCTCTCTTCCTTGCCCCTCTCCCTCATCACCATCTAAGTGGTTCTCACTTACACGCAGTTCTAACTCACTCATGACCTTCCAGGGGTTTCCAAGGCTAAAAGGTGCATGGGAGAAAACTGAAGTTGCATGGGAGAAAACTGTCCATCTTTCCACCCCAGTGTCTGATGAATCAAACCATTAGAGAAGTTTGATTTTTGTGTTATCACCGAAATTCTCTACAACCAGAGTCCCCATTTGCAATGCATCAGGATTCCTATACATTGATAAGAGTTCATAGAAATAGTAGCATAATCTATACATTATTCTTAATCTTGCTTTGCCTAATTAATATTATACTGTGTATACTAGTATATTCAATAACAATTCATCTTATTACCGTCATTGTTTATCTTTTGTATTTCTAGTGCAACACACTCCCTTATTTGGGGGTGCTATGGATTGAATTGTGACCCCAAAAATATAGATATGTAAAGATATGTCTGTATGATGAGAAAATTATTCAAGATATTTGACTCTGTGAAGAGGAATGTGGCATCAAGATTGGTGGAGAGGCTCATCAATAACCTAAGTTATGCAGATGACACAACCTTGCTTGCTGAAAATGAGGAAGACTTGAAGCACTTATTGCAGAAGACTAAGGAATGCAGCCTTTAGTATGGATTGCATCTCAATGTCAAGAAAACAAAGTTTCTTACCACTGAACCAGTAGGCAACATTATGATGGCTGGAGAGGAGACTGAAATTGTCAACAGCTTCATCTTGCTTGGTTCCACAGTTAACACCCTTACTAGCAGCAGTCAGGAAATAGACACTTTGCACTGAGAAAATCTTCAGTTAGGACTCTCTCCAAAGTATTCAGGTGTCAGTTTGAGGACTAAGGTGAGACTGATTTAGGCCATAGTCTTTCTGATCACTTGCAGTGCATCCGAGAGGTGGACAATGAATAAGAATGATAGAAGAATTTATGTCTTTGAACTGTGCTGTTGGAGAAGAGCACTGAACATCCCATGGATGTGCAAGAGAACAAACAAGTCTTGGAAAGGGTACAGCCAGAGTACTCTTTGGAGGTTGCTCTTTGGAGGCAAGAATGATGAGGCTTTACCTCAGATACTTCGGGCATGTTGCTAGGAGAGGCATGTTCCTTGTAGAGGAGCATGATGCTGTGAAGGATGGAGGGTCGGGGAAGGAAAGGAAGACCCTCAACCAAGTAGATTGACATGGTGACTGCCGCAATGGGCTTGTGTGTATCAGAATGTGTGAGGATGGCACAGGGTAGAACAGGATTCAAATCTTTTGCTTATGAGTCAACTTGAGGCACCTATTAGCAACAAAGATACATTGTAGAAGCTATGTAATAATCCTCTATAATTTGATAAACTGTATGAACTTGGAGAAAGAAGGAAAGTTGTACAGGAGGTGTCCAGGACTTTCCTTTATAGGGTCACTATGAGTCGCCTGCGACTCGACGGCACTTAACACAACATATAATTGTGAGTAAGCTGTGGTAAGCATAGAGGGTAGAGTGGTCCTGAATATGCTCAAAGGGAGAAAGATGGATGGTCCCCTCCTATGCAATTTACAAACTGAAAACCTGCTGGAGGGAGATCAGTCCATCTCAACAACACCTAACAACAACAACAAAACAGTTAAAAGAGAATTAAAGATGGAACCGAGCACCCTTGATTCCATCACAGATTGAAGTATATTTTCATACTTGTAACATCTTTTATCTGACATGAGGTATAATGCAAGGAATACAAGTAGAGAAGGAAGACCTGAGTATCATCAAGAAAGAATCGTTAGAAGTGGAGTAAGTCCTTTTAGACTCAAGTCCAGACACGAGGAAGCCCCTTTGTACTGGGAAAGGCCGAGACACACTGGGATCTCCAAGGAAGTCAGGCCACAGTTGCTGAAGGAAGCAAGACCTTCCTCCAGAACAAAAGAGAAAGAGCTGGCCCCTGAATTTGAGCTTCTCATCTCCTAAACCATAAATGAATACATTTTGTTTGTTGAAACTATCGACTTCAGGTATTTTTAGATAACTAAGACAATGTACATTGATGTTTGTATTAGCAAACGATGTTGTGATGACTATATTATTACAAACAATGCTATGATGGGTATCCTTGTATCTGACCGTTTCACCCTAAAGCAAACCATTATCAAGTTCTAAAGTTCATGCCCAGACTTACTTGGAAGTAGCAGCAGCAGCAGTAGCAGGACACAGTCGAAGGAGATGTGGGAAAACATGAGATCTGCAGAAAAAAAAAAGACAAGACAGCTCTATTTAGGCTCAGCTTTAATTCTTCAGTTGAACTGGATACTTCCTCTAACCGTCTCTGGAGTCCACAAAATCACAAGAGAGGTTGCCACCCTTTCTCAGGGCCTGCCTCATGATGTCTGTCTGCTGATGATTCCTGTCTTAATGCTGCCAAGACCACAGTAATTTCAAAGGAAACCCCAGTTCTCTGTCATGCTTCACCACACACATCCTGTAAAGGCTCTACTTGAATCAACAAAGAGGAAGAAATACTTCAGGGGCAGAAAAGTGTTATTTAGTCACAGCAAGAAGAGAGGGTCCTCAGGTGGAATAATCACCTATCTGCAATGGATCGTGCATGAGTCCAGCTGGTTTCCAAGGAGTATACAGGTCAAATATGTCATTATTATATTCATCAGCCAATCAGTAAAATGTGTGACCAATTCAACATCAAGTAAACAAAAATCCTCACCACTGGAACAATAGGCAGCATCATGATAGATGGAGAAGATATTGAAGTTGTTAATTTTCTTTTCCTTAGGCCCACAATCAAAAAATCAGTAGTAGCAGCTGTCCAGAAATCAAAAAAAGTGTTGTAGTAGGAAAACAAGCTGTCAAAGATCTTTCCAAAGTGCTGAAGAACAAGGATGTCAGTTTAGAGACCATAACGTCCCTGATGCAAGTCTTGGTATTTTCAATTGCTTCCTATGCATCTGAAAGCTGGACAATGAGTAAGGTGACATTTGAATAAGTTTGAATCAAAGCCTTTGAATTGTGCTCCTGAAGAATACTGAAGATCCCACCGGGCTGCCAAAAGAAAAAACAAGACTGTCTTGGAGGAAGTGAAAACAGTGTGCTTTTTATAGGCAAGGATGGTGAAAGTTCATCTCAAATACTTTGAACGTGCTGTTAGAAGAGGCCGTCCTTGGGAAAGACATTGTGCTGGGGAAAGTAGAGTCAGAGAAAGAGAGGAAGGCCCTCAGCAGGATGGACTGACACAGCGAACGTAACAATGAGATCATGATGGTAGTTAAATATTTGACAAACAATCAAAAAGTTGGTGGTTCAAATCTACCAGTCACTCTAAGGGAGAAAGAGGTGAAGAGATAGCAATCAACTTCAGTAAAACTTTCCAGTCTTAGGAAAGCTTTGGAACAGTTCCACTCACTCCTATACAGTCGGTATGAGTCAAAATCAACTCCACAGCTACAGATATGGGTTTTGATCTACTAAGTGCCAGTAAAGGCTACAATCTTCAATGTGGATGATTGGATAAATATAAAATTGATAAACTGCTAGAATTAAATGAGAATGAAAACATAACACCACAATATGGAATTAAAAATAGTTAGGACCAAAATATTTGGGAAAATCAACACTCCAAGGAGTTTTTATGCCAATAAATGTACATATTGAGAGAGAGGTTTATTCTCAAGAAATGACTCACATGCTTATAGAGTCTGGCAAGTCTCAGGTCCATGAACCAGACCTCAGGAGAGAGGCTGCTTCTTCTGATTCACATTGCTATACCGTTGTTGATGTTGTTGTTGTTAAGTTAAATTGAATATGACTCAGAGTGACACTATGAGTAACAGATTCTGTCCTATCCTGTTCCATCCTCTCACTTCCTGACTCGCTAGATCCCATTGCAGTAGTCATTGTGTCAATCCACCTGGTTGAGTGTCTTCCTCTTCTTTATCAACCACTCCACTGATCCTTCTCTGTGGTCCTCAGGCCTTGGGTAAAGTCTGATTTGTATTAGAAGTGCAACACTAAGGGAGCTCCTGTGGCCTAGTGGCAAGAAGCTGCACTGCATGCAATCCCAGAGGAGCACAGTTCGAATCCACCAGATTCTCTGCATGAGAAGGAGGACCAATCTCCTCCTGTACCAGTCAGTTCCAATTTGACGGCACACACACACACACACACACACACACACACAAAATAATAAAATAAAATTTTTTAAAAAGAAGTACAACACTAAATTGTCAGTTTGCCATGTTTGAGGAATGCTGTTACTGTGTACCATCGAGTCAGAACCAACTTACAGCTGGACCACCCAG